GTCTCTGTACAGCCCTGTCACGGTGTCTTTCCCTCTTTACGCCTCCTCCGCTTTCCCTCCAGTCAGTCACCCTGTGTTCCAGTCCAAACTGCTTGCATGTCCAACATACACCCCTCATCTTATGTTATGGATTTGTGGAGCCAGAAGGCCAGTCTGTTAGCCCGTATTCTAGTGTGAATAATATATTTCAGCCAGCTGATGCCAAGGTTTTTTAGATGCAGTTAGTCAACATTTTAAGCCAACTACCTGCCCAGTCACCCTGCCAGAGCTGCACTGTATTTTACTGTTGGCTCTGGCATTTGGAGCATGGTGAAAGTATGTTGGCTGAGGTCCTCAGTCACACCCTAACCATTACTCTCAGTGCTTTTACATGTGTAAAAGTACAAGCGTATCGTGGAGACAATGTGATGATATTTTTACTCTAAACAAATGTACAAACTAGGAGCTGTGATTTTTAAACTTGCAATAGCTGATTTTTATTTGGCCAGGTGGAGGCAGCGGCAACAAGCTGTACAAACAACACTAAGGTGTTGTCTGTTACGTCGGTATGGTGAACTTGTTAGCAAGCACCGATTTACGCTTTCAGCCACTATATTTTTGCTGAAAACAAGTGTGTTGTATGAGTGAGAACTACACTACGAGAGCAGTGGGTGTGAACAAGAACAAAGTTGAGGGTCATCTTCACATTTGTGCATCACTGCAACACCTTAGAAAATTAGGCTGAGCCAGTGCATCTCCTACAGTTCACACAACGGTCTCATTGCTTTTATTTAGGACTGTATGAAATCTGTGCTTAATTTACCATTGCTAAAGTTGATGTTGTTTGCCTCTGCAGAGTGCGTGCATCGTATCCCATGGATCGCTCCGGAGTGTGTGAAGAACCTGTCCGCCCTGAGCGTTGCAGCTGATAAGTGGGGCTTTGGTACCACCCTGTGGGAGATCTGCTATGATGGAGAAGAACCCCTGAAAGAGAAGAAACTCACGGAGGTATGGGGCACACACCAGCACATGAATACATACCATCCAGTATTTCCTTGTGATGCCTATTCTTCACTGTTTCTCCCTCTGTTTATTTTCTTCCTTTTTCCCCACCACCTGCCCTCTAACACAACCTTTTGCCTGCACATCCTCATTCTTTTGTATGTTTCTGCTGAGCAGAAGGAGAGGTTTTATGAAACAGAGTGCCAGCTGGCCACTCCGGACTGCAGAGAGTTGGCAGAACTGATGACCCACTGCATGAACTACGACCCCAAGAAGAGACCTTTCTTCAGAGCTATCGTCAGAGACATAGACATGCTAGAAGAAAAAAGTATGTGTGAGGGCCATGTGTATATTTTTATATAACAAAGAAGTAAAATCTTGGGCAGCATCTTGTTTCAGGAGTTTTACTGCCATTGTGCTAACCTATCTGCCACCAGAACAGCCATACATTTTAGCTGTTATTATACATTTGAACAGTATTGCAAACTGTTCCTGTTTGAACAATGCAGAACAGGTTAGAGAGCAGGTAGAGGTTCAGTTGGAGCTGCTTGTTTTGCATGTTTTCTATCTCACCTAGCAGCAGCCTCATAAGCAGTGCAAAGGGAGTTGTTTACTCAACTCAGATGTTCATGAGGAAGTTCACAGGGTACATCACTGATCTCCCCCTCAGCTGGGCCCCATGGCAACATAATAGACTGTTCTTCCACCTGCTGGCCAGACTTGGACCATGCAGTCAGTCTTTCTAAAGCTAAATCTTATTACCTCTTGATCTTTTATATTAAAATCTCATGTTTACTAAAATATCCACTATAATTTGCACCAAAAAAAAAAAAAGTTTTAGAATAATTGATACTGATGACACAGAATGGGTTTTACTTGAATAATAAATACATTGTCCTAGTAAAAGTAGCCATTTATGTGGAAACAAGAGCAAACAGTTACATAACCACAGAAAGGTTCAGGTGAAAACTTTGACGCTGTCGACCACAATAGGCTTCCTGTGACGCGCTTATGTTGAAGAAACGACATGTTTTAACCCAGCGGGTTTAAGGCTTTTGTTTGTTTCTTTCCTTTCCTCAGACCCATCTATTAAACCGCAGCCTACACCAGAAGTGGACCCAACTATGTTTGAAAAGAGGTTCCTGAAGAAGATCAGAGACCTGGGAGAGGTAAACTGTTCCTGCTGGTTTTTGTCTGTTTGTGTTGGTTTCTGTTTAGCAGCAGTATAGTAGAACCATTTACAAGAACAATGAATCTGAACGTTTCAAATGCACAAAACAACTTGACCACGGTAAATGTTTTGTGTTAAATCTGCAGTTTCCTTTAGTGTATTTCATACCGTGAGTACTTTGTGATTTATGATGCTTTATGATTCACATCAGCTCTCAAGTATTAAAGAATGCCGCCTGAAGTATTAATAAAATGAGCTGTAGTGATTTTAGAAAAGTAGAGCAGACATGAGCCGGAGCAGATGCAGAACTGAATCTGGGAATAGGGAGGATTAAGGCAATGAATATGAAACTGATGGTGCAGCACAGAATTGCCACAAGTAGAACAGAACTGGCTCTTGAGTAAAGGTGCCACATCTTCCTCATGCAGGGCCACTTTGGTAAGGTGGAGCTGTGTCGCTACGATCCTCGAGGAGACAGAACAGGCGAGCTGGTGGCAGTGAAGTCACTGAAGCCCGAGAACACAGAGGAGCAGAGCAGCAACCTCTCGAGTGAGATTGACATCCTGAAGGCGCTCTACCATGAAAACATTGTCAAGTACAAGGGCATTTGTCAGGAGGAAGGTAAGATGGACAGAGCGTGTACAGAGTGTACACTTGTATCATTGGATCCGTCTGGTTGTTAAGTGTGACGTAACGTTCCATTTCTGGGTCCAAACTCCCCAGGACCCAAACGGCGAAGCATCATTGAGAGTGAGGAAAAAACATGACTACATTGTTAAGATTCAAATAATCAGTTGCCAAGCCGCCTGGTGGATAATAACCAATCTTTATTACAATAGAGTCCAATGTCTAACTTCTTAATACTTACTAGCTTTTGCTGTTACTTTCATCAGTATAAAATGTCATTGTATAATGTTTACATTAACTTTGTGTTAAGTTACAAGTCAGCAAAACGGCACACTTTTAAAAGTTTTATTTTTATTAATTTAAGAATTCTGTGACTCATCTAATCAACTGTAGCCATTTCTTTTTCTCCTTCCCATGATTGGAGTGCATGTTTCCGGAGAGTCAACATTATACACACAGAAACAAATAAGCACACATGTACAGTATAGAGCCCCCAGTTTGTGCCTCTCCTTTACATTAGTCAGACTTAAGCAACTGATTTTCACTAAATAATTACCTTGTCATATTTGTGCTACAAAAAATATTTTTAATCTGTTTAAAGTTGCAGCTGTATTTCCTATTGTAGAAGCCAGTAATATGTCTTTTTTGTAAAACACAAATGATATATTAGCCTTTTCTTATACTAATGTGGGTTTGTACTGTACAACTGGAGCAAGGACACATTACTTTTCCAGCTACAGTTGTTGTTTGGAAAGATGCGGGCATAGCTTGGTTAACTGTCTTTTTGTTAGACTCTTTAAGGATTCAGGCGATACCTTCAGAACACTGTTAAATGCTGTTAAAGTGGTCAGGGCTTTCAAAAATCAGATGCTTAGCTCTGTGACTCAAATGTAAAGGCAGTACATGAGATGCACAAGCTGGGATGTATGAACACACAATCTCCCTCTAGTGTTCCGATCCGTCTGTCTGAATGTATTTGTGTGCAAATCTGTTTATAGGTGGTCAGGCCATTAAACTGATCATGGAGTATCTTCCACTGGGCAGTTTGAAGGAGTATCTGCCCAGAAACAAATGCAAGACCAACCTCAGCACTCTGCTCAGCTACTCCATCCAGATATGCAAGGTAACAGTTTCTCTTCATGGATCCATTTCTTCAAACCTGTTTCTTACATTAGCATTTACCTTGTGAACAGTAAAATCCATCTTTTTTTTTTTTTGGTTCCTTTTAAGGGAATGGACTATTTGGGATCTCGAAATTACATCCACAGGGACCTGGCCGCTCGAAATGTGCTGGTGGAGAATGAGAGGACAGTGAAGATTGGTGACTTTGGTCTCACCAAGAGCATCAAGGACAACGAGGGATATTACACTGTTAAGGACGACCATGACAGCCCTGTTTTCTGGTGAGTCAAGGAAAGAGAGTAAACGGTAAAATAATTCTCCGACTCATCATTATAACTGAGATCTTATTGTTAAGAGACTTAGAAAATGCTAAAAGAAACATGGAGGATCAGAAAGGAAACAACTGCAGACAGCGTATCACAGTGCACCTTTCCCAACTCACATGGTTCGCCTCTCCCCAGCTGACCAACAAAATCAGTTACTGCATGTTTAACCAAAGTAGGAAATTATTAATGGCTCTGTTTGCAGAATTAAGTCTAAAGTTTATTGTAGTTGCCTGTTCACTGTGCTGCCCTGAAGGGGTGTAATATTATATGAAAAGCAGTCGCTGTATGTGATATTAACCTTAAATAACTGCAAGTTGTGCAGTACGATGTCTGATACAGCGGCAGGGGAAGCATGATCACATAACACAAAAACTGGTTTAAAGTGGACATCAATTCACGCTCTTACTTCCTGTTTTTCAGGTATGCTCCAGAGTGTCTGACTCAGTGCAAGTTTTACCTTGCTTCAGACGTGTGGTCCTTTGGGGTGACGATGTACGAGCTCATCACCTACTGTGACTCCTCCAAGAGCCCCATGACGGTCGGTACACAGCACTAATCTCTTCCTTCTGAGCAGACATTCAACATAAACCTCTGATGCTTGTGCATTTTTCAGATTGGCTGATGATTACACATTTGGTACATATAACACGTACTCTACCAGTGTGGCAGAATTAAAGAAGTGAATTTATTATACACACACACAGTTATTCGTAGGTGGCAGATGGTGTTTGGCTTCAGCCAGACTGGCACATGAAGGCAGAAACTGTGTCCAAACTAGAATCTGCGCCAACGCTGAGAGCTTAGTTTATTATGGAGATTTAGCATTGCATCAGGCTTTTTACTGCCCCTATCATCCTGATTCACCTGTAAGTGACATAGGAAAGACCATCATGATTGAATAACTTTGTACTTTATCTTCATTGAAATGCTTTAGCTGTGTGCCCATAACTGCCTTTAGCCCATTTGCACTGGAGTTGCATTATCATGTTTCATGTCTACACAAAAACCAAGCCACATTGGAGTGTTGTGTGTTTTTAATCTCCCTTTGTCCTCACCCACACAGCTCTTCCTAGGTATGATCGGTCGAACTCACGGTCAGATGACTATCATCAGGCTGGTGAAGGTACTGCAAGAAGGAAGGAGGCTGCCACGCCCTGAGGGCTGTCCTGAGCCTGTAAGTACCTTTGTTCTCATTAAAGCAAGGCAACACAATCTCATGGACACAGGTTTTTTTTTTTTTTTTAGATGTGGTCTAAAGAATTTTCTTTATTAATAAAACCAGTTAAAAAGAAAACAGAAGGAAAGGAAAGCAGTTCCAAAAATAGTCAAAATGCTTGGCTTCAAAAGCAACAGACTGAAAAAGAGTAGGGGCTTCCAGGTTTTAAGAGCATTTTAATTAATGCATAAACAGGTTTTTTGTAAATTCAGTTTACTTTTAGATGAAAACCTTACTAATGTTGTACTCAACGTCCTGTCAGGAACAAAACAAGGATGAACAATGTATGGAAGTAGACCCCTGCCATAACATTTGAGGGTGCACAAACCACATTTCGAGCCCTGTTCAGGTTGCACCTCAGCGTTTGAGAGCGCACAGATAGTTGTAAGTGCAAATACAGATCTGAGAGCGTAATCCAAGCCATGTGTGCTCTTCATTCTGAGCCTGCACACTCATGTCTCCAATGGGTTGTGTGTGACACTGTCGGAGCCAAAAGTTTTGAAATTGCATGAAACAAGTTTAAAGTGCTATTCAGTTTGCAAATCAGTCTGCAGGCACAGATTTGTAAGAGCAGAATCAGATCTGAGAGCAAGGGAGGACAGAATCATGTGTAACAGATCATTTAAGCGAGCTGCAGGATCGCTCACATATGATTGTACTCTTACAAATCCGTGCATGCATGCTCTTGAATTCTGACTTGCAAACTGAATGGGCTCTCGACACTTTCAAAACTTTTGGCATCACCAAACTTTTTCAGTGGAGAAATCCGAGCACACACGGCCAGGATTATGCTTTCAAGTCTGATTCTGTGCTTACAATCGTGCCTGTGGGCTGTCAAGACGTTGAGCAAAGTGAGTGGTGAACAAAGTGTGTTTGCTGTACTCTCAAACATTACGGCAGGGATTTACTCCCATAACGAGTGTGCAAGTTTTTTTTTTTTTTTTTTTTTTTTGGATTACTACAGGACTGAAAAGTTAAATAACCTACAATCTTAAAGACTGTTTCAGTGGCAGGAGAGGTAAACTTGGCATTATTAGGGTTTACCTGACCAACTGGCAGAGGACTTAAAGATGGTCTTTTGTAAATATTCACCCACTTTTTAAAGGAGGGCAGTCACCAACATCAGTGGTTTCATTAGGGCCATCTGAAAATATTACGACAGAATAGTCAGCAGTGGAAGCAGACATATTACTTTCAGTGGCCAAGTTGAACGTAATCGCGGCCACGTGTGCTTGAATCTGGGTCTGTGCTATCGAATTGTTTCACTGGGGGATTTGTGTGAAAGTCTCCTGACGCCAAAATATTTTAAGGCATACTAAAAAGTTGTGGAAAATATTCACCTTGTAGGCAAGCATTTGTAAGAGCAGAAACAGAATTGAGAGCGAGGACAGTCGTGAGCACAGCTGATTTAAGTGAGTAGCAGGGATCCTTGCTTACTCTCAAATTCTGAATTGCAAACTGAATAGTGCTCGGAATTTAGCTGGAAAGAAAAAAAAAATCATCTGGACTTGGTTTTAGGTAGAAGACGTTTCACCTCTCATCCAAGAGGCTTCATCAGTTCTGTATGACTGGTGGTGAGCAGGAGGTATTCATCCCCCTGGGTGGTGTTTCAGTCCTTTGACGGCCCAGATCGCACTATGACCTGGACGACTGAGAATTTGCATGGACATGCTTGAAATTTATTTTGCGCACTCAAAAATTTTACTGTGGACATACTTTCCCACAATCCCCAGTGGAGACATTCTGAGCGTGCGGACTCAACATGTGGAAAGAAAAGTCATTGCACAGCAACTCAAAAGTTGTTGATGCCTGCTCCTAAAGACAGTATACACTCACTGGCCACTTTACTAGTCACACCTGTACAAATGTATATGCTTCGCTTTTGCTTTATCTGTTTATGAAGCTCAAAATATTTGTTTTTGGTGAAACTGCCATAAATGTATAAATTCAATTATTCGTTTATTATTGGTCCTAGTTAAAGGTGGTGCTGTACTGGGCTACATTATATCTAGAGGTGTTCCTAATATTCTGACCCTCATGTCTGTAGCTGGGGAGGACAAAAATACAGGAACACCTCTGAATATAATGTAGTCCAGTACAACTCCACCTTTAACTATGACCTCAATAACAAACATATAATTGAATTTATATATCTATAACAATTTCATCACAAACATTTTGAGCTTCATAAACAGATGTTAAGGCGAAAGTGTTGCACAGGTGTACCTAATAAAGTGGCTGGTATGTTACAGCAGTTTTTTTCTTTCTTTCTTTATGTTCACTACTTGTAATTTAATATGATTCATGTTGGACAGGTGTACGAGCTGATGCGCCGGTGCTGGGAGCACTCGCCCGAGAGGAGAATCACCTTTAAGACCTTGATCGAGGAGCTGAGCCACATGGAGCAACAGCTCCAACCGCAAAATGATTTTTAAACCTCCAGGAGTTCCAGGCTCTGAGGGTGAAGTTAACTTGTGCACAAATGGTACATCTTGATTTTACTGCGGCATAGTTGTGAAGGAGCCGCTCGGCTCCTTCACATTTAAACACCTACCCTTAAGTTTTTTATTTGATGCCGTTACTCTGTTTAAGTCTCTGTACATGAAGCAATCTCATAGCTGTAGCCCACGCTAAATGTGAACCTGTATCTTCCAAAGGACTTGAGGGTTTGTCTGACACATTTAACCGCCTGCATTGTGAGAAATGTCAAACATGTGGACTCAGTGCTCATACACTGTACGTACCCTGAAAGCTTAAAACATTTTGTGCATACTGGAGACTGATATCCCTGGTTGCAGATGGAAGCGGAAATAAGCTAGGAACTGTTGGACGCTCACTTTCACAGTGTGTTGTGGGACGGACACCAAGTGCAAACAACGTGACAGATGTGGACAGAAGAGAAGGACAGGACACAGGAGTAACGCAGATACTGAAGATGCGGTTTTTACTGTTTCCAGGTGTTTGGGAGAGAAGTCACCTGACTGGAGTGTTTCTAGCTGCCGCCGTGATCCCTGATCAAGGTTTAGCTCTTGTTCGTGATGCGCAGACGAAGTCATTAAATTAGAGCAACCATTCAGCCAGCTTCTTCCACTGCGTTGTTTTAGAGTTAAACCTGTTGGCCAGTCGAAAGTAAATTGGAAACTATTTTAATAATCATGTAAATCTTTGTTTTTCTAGGCAAGATGCTGAACATTCACTGGTTCTAGTCGCAATTCTTCTGTTTTCTTTCATTCTAAAATGAGCATCTCTAGGTTTTGGAGTGATTTTACGTTTGCAATTTGAAGACAGTAGTTTGAGTTATAAGGAAGTGACAGACAGAGAAAACATTGCACCATCTTTGTACATATCCTTCCTCTTGGAACATTTTGCAGAAACTGTGAGAAATGCTGCACTATGCTCATTCCAGTCTTCAGATTTGAGGCCCAGTGTTTGAGATGGTTTGGTTTTACAGTAGGTTCAGAATCTACTGCACATGCAACAGTGCATGTGGATAATCAACAGATTTTTTTTTTTATTAAAAAAAAATTCTGAAATTGATCTGGAAAATTGTGCCTAAACCCTCCATTATACAGCAGCTTGTTAGTTGAGGAGAGAGTGTAGTACCTGTGAGAGAGACTTGAGGGCAGTGCCACGTCGCTTTTCATCTGTTCTAATCTGCAAGAGCCAATTTCCACTGTGGCAGGACTGTAAACAGAAGGATTTGAGATGGTACAGGTTTGAAGTGAAAGATAAATCGGTGATTAATCAAAAGGCATGTTTTACAGTTAAGTTCCCATTTTTTTAAACAATTATGTTTGTGCATTTTACCTGTAACACTCTTCTTAATTACTGAAGTATTTTCTCTAATATCCAAGGACATGTGTATCTTATCTAAGTATATCTGTGGTCATAATACTGTACAAGGGCCTTGAACTGTGAATACTGGTGAAAAGATGGGAAAAACTACCAAGTGGACAAAGTTATGCTTCAGTCCACATTTTACTTACGAATGTAAAAGAATTCCTTCTGCCCTAAAGAAATATATTTTTCAAAATATAAGATGGAAATGAGATTGTGGAAAAGTATTGGCGAATGCACAATGGAAAATAAAGTCTTTAATGTTTCAGCTGTGTCAATCCAAACGCAATATGATCAACTATTGAAAACAGTTCTATATATTACAGGTGTAAGCATGCTAAAATTGCTCTAGAAATACCTTATTCACAGTAAAACAATATCAATGTCAGTGTGATATAAAACTTTGCAAAATCTACAGTATACTGTATTTTAGGTCGGGGGGGGAAAACCCACGTACTTTAAAAGCAGAAACTGTTTACAAAACAAGAAGCACAGCAAAACCTGGAGTTATCTACAGCCATTACAGTAGGTCAGAAAATCAGACATACTTCAGTACTGCAAAGCTTTTTGATCAGCGTGCGCGCGCGCACACACAGTCATTCACTACTGCGGAGTCCAGCCTCACCGCTGACGTGTGTGCAATATTCTTACTGGTACAACGTCACCACACTGAAGCTTAGAAGAGGCTTTGTTTACACAAGAACAGAAGAATCTAGATTTTAACCTGAAGTGATTCTACAAACAAATAACCGCTCTAAAAATAGCGTTATGTCGAAATCATAACTATTAACGGCTAAAGACCAGGAAAGAAGCTGCATTTTCATAGCAGCAGAATGTATCCTGAACTCTCCGAGGTCCAAACAGCCAGCTCACTGACTGTGAGGATCATCGTACGTGGCTCGAGAACAGCCTTCAGCTCACATATGTGTGCAAGCTTTCTTTGTGCTATGTTTCAGGGAACCAGGCCCCCTTTTATGTACAATCATCAGGAGGACGTCACGTCTAGTTGGCGGCACAAAGGAGTGGAGATACCAGTCCGACCACCCTACCAAAAGGGCCTGACATTACCCTTAAATAACTAACCACACTAACTCCAATACACTATCATCTGAAAAAAGTGAAAACCGATTAATGGTAGTGGTTCCTTCAGGATCCACATCTTAGGATGCTGAAACACAAGGAAGTAGAAGCAGACAGAAAAACGCCACCTGAGGCAGAGGTGCATTAAAAAAAGCCAATCAGTTGAACATGCGCAGGCGCCAGCTCAGAATGACCCAACAACAAACTAAGTGGGCGGCACAAGTTGGCCAAGAGGAAAGATCAGAGTGGGAGACGTGTTGAAACGACGTAGACCTTCTACCAGTGGTGGGAAGTAACTAAGTACATTTACACAAGTACTGTACTCAAGTAAATGAAAGTACGTCATACTTCACTATTGTACTTTTTTATTCCACTACTTATTTTATAACTTTAATTACTTTTCAGAACCAAATTAATGCAAACACTGTTTTTGAGGAAGATGACAAAATATGGTTGAAAACTTAAAGTTTTCAAAGTTCATTTAAAGAACATCTCTGGGCTGATGTAACAAGAACAAACATTGATTATTTACATCAGTGGATGTTCCACCACGTTACCCAGCTACTCCACCACCACACTGCACAGGGAACTAATGTGCTTCTTACTCCACATTTACTGTTAGTTACTCTTCAGATTAGTTTTACATATATATATGTAAATTAATTCAGTGCTAAAGATTAAACCTCTGAACAGTAAACAGTAATCACTAACACTCCAATAACATCTGAATGAAAGATGTAACACTGAAAGGGGCCGTTTATGCCTGATACTGCTGTACTTATGTAAATTTTGTATTCATTTATTTTATACTGGGGTAGTTTTACTTAAGGGATCTCAGTACTTCTTCCACCACTACTTTGACATACTTTATGAACACTCTCACAACCAGCTGCTCACCAGATCAAAAGGAACCAGTGAGCCCCATCGATGCACTGGGTGCAGTGGTGGAAAAAGTACTGATTGTTAAGTAGAAGTACCACAGTGTAAAAAAATATTCTGTTACAAGTAAAAGTTTAGCATTCCAAAATGTTAAAAGTATTGCTATCAGAATAAAGTACCAAATGTAAAATTACTCATGTATAATGGTACATTTTGCATTAATTATATGATTGGATTATGATTATTGATGAAACACTGAGTACATCACATTTAATATCACAGCTGGTAAAGGTGGATCTAATGTTAACTTTACCTTATATGTTTAGAAGTTCAAGTACTGCTGGGTAGCTCGTGAATTTCACATCAGGGATCAATAAAGTTATGATTATACTATATTTTATCAATTTGAAGTTATCAAATACGTGTAATAAAGTAAAAAGTACATTTGCCTCTAAATTGTAGTGAAGTCAAAGTATGATGTAAATTGTACTTAAGTACAGTACATGAGTAACTGTATTTAGTTACTTTCCATCTCTGGGTGCCGTGTTCTTTTAATGACCAGGGACAAGTTTATTTTTGGGACAATGCCACACGTTACATTAACTACATCGCAGCTGAAAATAGTCCAAACAGTGCACTATTTACTTTATTTACCTGCTGAGTAATATTTGCTGTCTTTCAGGAAATTACATAACATGTTTAAGAATTAAAACTATTTAACTGTAATTAGGGTTGGTTGGCCTGTGTTGACACCGCACATTGCGAGTTTTCTCGGTTCACATTGAAAAGGCTGGACAATTTACTCCACAGGAGAGACAATAAGAACGGAAACACCGCCCTGATAACATTCTGTATTCATTTAGATCACGCTAGGAGAGCAGCTAACGGTGGAGAGGAGAAATGGTGTGAGAGTGTCCATCTAATATAAACACAAGAGCCGAGAGGAGACATTTTCCAGAGTGTTGGTGTGTGTGTGTGTGTGTGTGTGAGACAGCCCTACAGGTATGCGCAACATGCAGAGGTCTGCCAGACATAAGCAACAGTCTTCACTGAGCGAGCAGACAGACGAGCAGGAAGCCAGCAAAAACAAACAGAAAAAAAGGAGAAAAACCCCTGCAGGCTGAAGGCAGCTGGAGTTGTTTTTCAACTCTTTTTCTTTCAGCCCGTCTTGCCTTACCCCCATTACCTGGCAGCAGCACATTTTTACAGTGCTACACACACACACACACACACACACAGTACAATTACCGGTGCCAGCGCACACTGAGCATCGGCCTAAGTCGACTCCAGTTCAACTCTTGTCATCCGTCATTTGTAAACATTATGAAATTCAGAAACCAAAGTAGTGTGTGACAAACAACGTGTAATCAATCAAAAGGTGAGATCAGGTTTGGAAAGCATTAACCGCTGCACACACAGACACACATATCCAACTGTCTGGCAGAGTCTGAACACCCGCAGTAAGAAGGTAAAAATGTGCTCAACAGCACTTCCTGGCTCCAGCGGGACGCGCACACAGTATCTGGCTGTCAAACCGTTCAAGTGTAAGGCACAGGAAACTTGATTTAGAACCATGTCTTCATGAAGCTGCCCTTTGTAGGCAGACAAGACAAACGAGAAGCCAAACAAAACATCAAATAACAGAAAAAACTATTCTATCCTGTTCAGCTTTCTCACAGAAATGCAGGACTGTTTCTGTACAGGCAAAGAAAATTAAGAGGATCAGAGAAAAAATATAAACAACGTCAAGACCTTGCACGACAACAAAACACTTTCACTGCTGTGGCAACGGCTGTAACTACTGTTCCAGTAACTGTATCAAGTCAGTGTTTGGCATTTCGGCTCAAATGTTAACTAATTAATCACCTGTCAAAGCAGCTGCTGATTCATTTTATGTCTATCAACTAACCCAATGTGGTGGTATCCAGCTCAAGCTGCATATAAACATCCTTTTTCAGCTGGAACAAGTCCCTCCGAATTTCCACAATAAAAAACCAAACAACTTTATCTTTCCGTTTTCAACACACAGATACTGACGGTTCATCTTTCTCTCCTGTGATTAAGATAATTATACTGATAACTTGCCAATCACATATCAAAACATCACGCCCAGAGGAGCCCTGCTGCATATTGGGATATTTTATGACTAAAATATACTTTATATATAGCAGCAATTAGCAGTTCATTAGTGGCAAGACCACAAACACAATTACAATTAACACCTCCTGAGTTTTCTTCACCTTTAAAGTAACTTGAGCCAAATGGAACAACTTGATGAAGCAGAATGAAACACTGGCACTGGTCAAATCCAGGGCGGCTCTGCTCTCTGTCCACTTTTACATACGTATGAACAGCCAAGGCTAAGTGAGTCATGAGCAAAGAAAGCCCTGAGAAACAAATCTTAAGGTCTCAAAATGTCAGTTGCAGTCCTGATTCTGTCCTCACTCACTCAGAATCTGTTCTATTCTGTTGCACAATTACAGCACAAATCAAGTTTGTCCTCAGCAGTTTTGACATCCACACAGGCTTTAGAGCGAGCGAGACATGAAGCAGAGGAAGAGCTGACACTAATGTTAGAATACCACTAAAATAATCCAGAGACGGGAAAACGCACAAGCAGACAGTGCTTTCTAAACTCTGCTGCCTCGGCTGTTCACGTCCATAAACACAGAAGTCCCGTCTCTGGCCCCAGCGCACACGCAGACATTTGTAGAAAGGTGGAGGTGAAAGTAATCACCAGACAGAAAGCGAGCACTGGAATCCAGGTGCCCACTTTCAGCCACTCACACCAGGAAGCAAATCAAACTGAGGCTCAGAGCAAGGCCAGACAGCCAACTAATCCAGAGCAGCATGTCGCCATGAAATGCGTCTAAGTGGTAGCAGTTCAGTGGAGATCAGGCAGATGAAAGCATAGTACGGAGGGGAATCAATACACCAAACTGCTTGAGAGGGAAAATGAAAAACAGCTTCAACAAACAGCGAGATGTGTAAGTAGATTTGACTACAGACAGACTTCATGGGGCAAATGGGGCTCTTTCTCCAAAGGTCTTAACAGAGGAGCTGCTGACTCGGTGGATCTTTGCCCTTCATCCCAAATGAGTCTGATCTGCTCCTTCATAAGAAAACCTGACTGAGCGAACAGGTGGTTCAGCTGCTGGAGAAGCACAGCAGACAGAGCAAGGTGCTTCACAGATGTGTAACTTACAAACCTACTGTGTAACCTGACACTCATATTGTATCCTTAAATTACCACATATGCAAGTGATGCATTAATTTATAAAGCAAAAATCAGGTTATTTAGAAATCCAAGCTGAATTCTCTCTCACAGCGCAAATGCAATTTACATAATTTGTTCTGTGCATTGCCGCCAGAGGTTAAAGGATGTAGTGTGCACGGACATTTAAAATAAAAAAGACATTCTAAATAGAAAAGTACAATATTCTGAAGAAAATGGAGCCAAAAAAAAAACTAAAGCATGATTAACTTTTTAAATTGTTTACAGGATAAATAGTATTAATGTAACATACAGTTTTAGATAACATTAGATTTTAGGATCATTGGGGAAATCTGGACACCATCAACTGAGTATAAACATCAAATGTTAGCCACCACGTGTGAAAATGCCAGCAGATGGGTCTATGGCTTAACCGCAATCTATGTACTTTATTAATCCACAAACAGTGGCAAAAGTGATAACATGCAGAAAAAGGAGGCGAGCCACTGAATGCAAAAGCACGGCGACAGTTATTATGCTAAACGCAGGATGTGTACACATACTGTACAGTGGCACAAAAACACGAGACTTTGGTCGGCACCTACTCTGGCCGACCCTCTTCCCATCCGTATTTGTGCATATAATGAGCATAATTTTTGCATTTAAAGGAGATGTGACACCATGAGACAAATTACTAGTACACCTGCACACCACCACTCCTACTTAAAACTAATACACAAGTCCTGCACAACTCTGTCTGAACATGTAAACGTCATGTCCATCCTGTTCACGAGGAGCTGTTATCCCAGGGACGCAACACTCTCGCTACAGGCCTGGACTAAACTGACACGATCTGATCTCACCTGCTATTGGTCGTCACAGTGTGTGTTGTCACTGTGTGAATGGCAAGACATTTTACATTCCGCTTTCTACAACACAGTAGGAGCCTTAGTTATTGAGGGTTTGTTAGGTAAGAGGCACGTGCACATTACAAACCTAATGTTAAACTGCCAAGCCCTCTCCTTAGTACAGCCAATAACACTATAGACATGAAGTACAATTCCACAGCCTGTGCACTATTATTGATTATTGGTAGTGATAAAAACAAGGTTGGAATAATAGTGAAAACAGTTTTGAAAAACAAACTCATGGCTTTTTCATAAACATTCTGTTCCTTGATAAAAAGCTGTAGAATGAAGAAAGAAAAAAAAAACCTGCAAAAGCCAAGATCAACATGATTCCACCAGTGGCCATGAAACACACCCATAGAGGCAGACAGTGATATTTTGATTCACTGCTCCTCAAATGACAAAAAAAAACTACATCCCATTCTCATACTACATACTAATTAATAGTTTGTATGCAAATAATTGGCAAACCTAACCAAATAAATTATGCATTTTCCCTTGTGCATTACAAGAGACCGGCACACTGAAATATTTGTATTTTAATATAGAAACCAAGTGCTTAGAGTAAAATTTTGCAGTGTGAACACAGTACATACTTAAAACCAGTATGTAGTATAGACTTGGGACAGAATGGAAAACCTTGACATTCTAACTAGAAATGGAAGTGAAGCTCTTGTCAGTCTGCTCAGCTCTTCCTGATGTTACAACCACAGAGAACAGAAGACTTGGTGTAAAAAAAACAAAACAAAACAAAAACCCAATAACTACATTTAAGTTGATACAATCTCACTCAGTGTCAAGAAAATGTCTTGACTAGCATTGGAATATTATTCTATTATAATACAAATATATAACAGTATAGATTGGAAAACCACGTAGGAAATGTTTTTCTTTCAATCATGAAGTACAATACACTCACAAAAGAGCCAAAAAAATGTCCCTTATATACGGTACTGTTGCTATGGATGGCTTTATATATTCTGCATTACACGCTGTATATACACAACCCTTTTATTTCCTGTCCAGTCTTTACAAGAAAGGTCCATTCACTCAGGAAGCTATTGTAAATCACCACAATTAATCGCTTTGATTTGTTCAGGCCCTTGTTTTTCCTGATGTGCTCCCAACCCTGGGATTGAAATGGCTGACACTTCCTACAGATACAGCATATCGACATACGCACAAACACACAAGCACTCTCGTTCTCTGCAGGGAGATATAAAAGAGAAACCTGGGAAAAGAGGAGAGACAGTGAAGCGGGAATAAACAGACGTCATCTCGACTGATGAACCAAAGCGCGAGTGTGCGACAGTTTTGTCTTTTGAAAACAAAACACAGAGGGAGAAACCCGACTGTCAGAACAGTCCTAAGACAGTTTCAGCAGGTAGACACATCACCTGGCTGGAAACACAAAAGCAGCTTATACATACAACAAATCCAATATTCTTCAGTTTACATTATATTAGAAAAATGCACAAGATAATATTAGTTAAGTACAGCTGAGACACTAAGGTTCAGCATTGTAAGTTAGAGTTAAGGCTTGAACAGGACAGAAGCAACACCATGTTTGTGTGTGTACTGTTTAGTGTGTCTGTCCATGGCCACATTCACATTGCAGGCTTTAATGGTCAATTCCATTTTTTTGTGTCAGATCATGTTTGTGACATGTATCCGACTGTGTGTGAACAACACCGAGATCCTAAACTACTGCCATATACAGATTTTACTGAAATATGAGCCACATGCAAACAATAACAACATTACTTGTGCAACAGTCAAATCGCACCAGTTACTGGAACTCTGCTTGCTTCAGACATGTTACCTCCAGTTTGGCTTCTCCATAAAGGGCCAACACATCTGAAACCTGCTCGTCTCTCCACTGACCCCGTCACTGCTGTTGCTCTGTTTGTTTTCACCGTCTGTGAGGGCTCGACACTGAACGGTAACAACAACGTGCGCAGTAGAGTGAGAACCACATGAATCCGTTCTAACACCAGTCACACGATCAGAAATGAATCAAGATGAGGAGCTCATATGCAAATGGCCCAGGTCTGATTAAAAAAAAAAAACCCAATGGCGATGAACAAACAATAATTATATGGATTAATATGGACTAGCTATGATTTTTGATTATAATTATTCTATTTATTTTAAGAGTTGCTAAGTTAAGTCCTCAACAGTTCGCTGGTCTCTGGTGCTTCACTCAACAACATAACCGCAGCCTGACTAAAAGCGAGGTGTGAACGTCAGCGTCAGAGCAGCTGTCGGCCATCAGCACCTGATGAGCTGGAAAGACAGGGGACAGACAAATGGTCTTCGCCAGAAATGTGCTGGATAACACTGTTGCATGTGTGTGTCAGAACTGACCTTAACCGCACCCTTGTATGTGACTTAGCATATTAGCATATTAGCAGCAGAAACACTGGTTTGTTCACACAAATGTAGAGAGAAAGAAAATCAGATTTGGGTCAATCCAGCATGTAATATGAATGTAGCCTGTGTATGGACAAATTGTGGTTTGAAACCATTGCTGTAAGGACATTTCATTGCAAGGACATTTTGGCTGGTCCTCACAAAGTCAAAGAGTTGTCTGAGGATTAAGACTTTGTTTTAAGGTTCAGTTTAGAATTAGGTTTCGATGAAGTGAAGGCTTTGGGGTTGCCATTAAGCTGTTATGGTTAAAGTTAGGTTAGGGTACAGTGCTAGGAAATGCAGTAGGTCAGTGAGTGTCCTCACAGCTATAGAGACATTGTGTGTGTGTGTGTGTGTGTGTGTGTGTGTGTGTGTGTGTGTGTGTGTACACATATGTAAATGCCAGGACCAAAGAACACTATGGCTTGCTTTCACTTGAAACATTTGCAACCCTAATTCTATTACTGTAAACTCAATACCTATTGTTGGGATGGAAAATGGCAGCCACAGAAAGGCCACTAGAGGGCGCTGTGACATCCAGCGGGCGCTGTTTGCGCCTTTCCCTCCATAAGCTTTAGGCTTTAAGCTCGTTTGGTTCATACTAAAGCCTCTTCCTCTTAAAGTAGTCAGCGTACTGCCCCCCCAGACCCTGGGAGTGCTGCCCGATGTAGGCACCATCTGATGATGTCACTTCCTGCACCGCCAACTGAGGATACTCCCTCTTATGACCCCTTGTCTGGTTCTGCAGACAGAAATGAGAAGAAAGTGAAGAGCAAGAGGTGTGTAAGGGTTAGGTCGTAGCATTTAAAGGAAGATTTCTGCACTTTGGGAAATACACTTTCTCACATTCACTTTCTGGCTGACAGCTGGATAAGAGGATTGATAACTGGCCACTGGCTCCAACTGTATAATCACCTCACATGGAAGTGAGTGCGCATATTTCTCTAAATGTCAAACTGAAATTCCCTTTTCAGGACGTCACTCATACTTCAGGGTTTTTCACTTTGCAACAGCTAGGAAGAATGTTTGGTCCATTTACAGTGGTGTGAAAAAGTGTTTGCCCCCTTACTGATTTCTTATCTTTTTGCATGTTTGTCACACTGTAATGTTTCAGATCGTCAAACAAATTTATATATTAGTCAAAGATAACACAAGTAAACACATCATGCAGTTTTTAAATGAAGGTTTTTATTATTAAGGGAAAACAAAATCCAAAACTATAGAGCCCTGTGTGAACAAGTGTTTGCCCCCCTGTCAAAACACTGGTTTATCGCACCTGAGTTCAATTTCTCTTGCCACACCTGTTCGCAATCAAGAAATCACTTAAATAGGACCTGCCTGACAAAGTGAAGTAGACCAAAAGATCCTCAAAAGCTAGACATCATGCCGAGATCCAAAGAAATTCAAAAACAAATGAGAAAGAGAATAATGGAGCTCTATCAGTCCGGAAAAGGTTATAAAGCCATTTCTAAAGCTTTGGGACGGCAGCGAACCACAGTGAGAGCCATTATCCACAAATGGCGAAAACATGGAACAGTGGAGAACCTTCCCAGGAGTGGCCGGCCGACCAAAATTACCCCAAGAGCACAGCGACAACTCATCCAAGAGGTCACAAAAGACCCCACAACAACATCCAAAGAACTGCAGGCCTCACTTGCCTCAGTTAAGGTGAGTGTTCATGACTCCACCATAAGAAAGAGACTGGGCAAAAATGGTTTGCATGGCAGAGTTCCAAGACGAAAACCACTGCTGAGCAAAAAGAACATAAAGGCTCGTCTCAGTTTTGCCAGAAAACATCTTGATGATCCCCAAGACTTTTGGGATAATACTCTGTGGACAGACGAGACAAAAGTTGAACTTTTTGGAAGGTGTGTGTCCCATTATGTGTGGCGTAAAAGTAACACCGCATTTCAGAAAAAGAACATCATACCAACAGTAAAATATGGTGGTGGTAATGGGATGGTCTGGGGCTGTTTTGCTGCTTCAGGCCCTGGAAGACTTGCTGTGATAAATGGAACCATGAATTCTGCTGTGTACCAAAATATCCTGAAGGAGAATGTCCGGCCATCCGTTTGTGACCTCAAGCTGAAGCGAACTTGGGTTCTGCAGCAGGACAATGATCCAAAGCACACCAGCAAGTCCACTTCTGAATGGCTGAAGAAAAACAAAATGAAGACTTTGGAGTGGCCTAGTCAAAGTCCTGACCTGAATCCAATTGAGATGCTGTGGCATGACCTTAAAAAGGCAGTTCATGCCCGAAAACCCTCCAATGTGGCTGACTTACAACAATTCTGCAAAGATGAGTGGGCCAAAATTCCTAGAGAAATTGAACTCAGGTGCGATAAACCAGTGTTTTGACAGGGGGGCAAACACTTGTTCACACAGGGATCTATAGTTTTGGATTTTGTTTTCCCTTAATAATAAAAACCTTCATTTAAAAACTGCATGATGTGTTTACTTGTGTTATCTTTGACTAATATATAAATTTGTTTGACGATCTGAAACATTACAGTGTGACAAACATGCAAAAAGATAAGAAATCAGTAAGGGGGCAAACACTTTTTCACACCACTGTATTTGGCCCTCGTCTGGATGTCTCTACTTATTCTTCATTTTCTAAAGGATTTCATTTAAAGGAATCAGATGTTCTGCTTTTAGATTTAAATTCTGGAAACTTTCACACTGAAATCAAGAATAATTAACTCGAAACCAAGTAGTAAACTGTGTTTAGTTAACCTTACAATTTTCTTTGAATCCTTAAATAACACATATCCTACTGGAAAATAATCCAAACACATCCATAATTCTGGATCAAATTAAAATCACTGCTCTATTTTAATGCTGCTTTTGCTTTTGCCTTTGTCCAGCTTTAATTACAAAACTAAAAGATTTTTATATGCTTAGTGTTTTCCAAACATTAAGAAAATGTAAATTACTATAATTGGATTTAGGCCTGGAAGTAGAAAATCCTTCACTGTTCTTGTGATATTCATTTTTAATTGTCTTTCAGGAGGATTGTGACTTTTTTTGTTTCTTTTATGTATTCCTACAAGTCAATATGATCACTGCTTGTTAGGATACATTTCATTTCTAAACAGTCACAAACCCTTTTCTGGTGTGCAGCACATTGCTGAAGTGAGTTCATGCTTAATTTAAGTATTAGATGATTACAGAAGACACATGGAGAATTTTAATGCTTTCATCATTTCATTGATCAAACCTTAACGTGAAAAAGTGAAGATAAACAATAACTGGAAAAAGAAAGTGGAATCACGGTGCCTAGCTGTGCAATGTGACAATGCAAACATCTTGTGTTTGTGTGTTTTGGGCTAACAGCCTAAAGGTCTTAACTGCAGTAAAACATAGACACAGAGGTTGTCTGTACAAACAAATGTAAATCTTTCTAGACACCAGGCTTAGCTCAGACATCTGGATCCTGGCTGCTCAGATCATCTTTTATCTTTTCTCTGTACCTCTTCTTCATCTTCTCTCAAGCTTAAAAGTGTGGCTCTGTTGCCATAAAACACTGCTCTATCAGCACCACAGTAAACAAACATCATGTCCAGCACTGCCCTTAGAAATTAGAAAAATGTCTTTTTCTTAAAAATATCACTTTTAATTTAGTGAGCTGAAGACTGATGCTCTTCCTCAGCCCCACTGTCAACAAACTAACTGCCCACTAATATCAGAAGTTGCAAGGCAGACAATGAAGTACACTCTACACTTTCACTACTGTCTAAGAGTGTCCATTTTCTTTACTCACGTAGTAGTAGGTGTTCCAGTCTGTGGTGGCAGTGTGTGTGTGAGCGACAGGGCTTGGCGTGGCTGCTGCCGGGTGTGGTGCCCCGAGAAAACTGGGCATTAATGGAAGTGTGCTGTAGGCTGGGGGCACGGCAGGAGCCACAGCTGGTGGAGGTGCCACACCGTTACTGACTGCATGCAGAGAGACTCCTAGAGGCTTACACACATCTACCTCCTGTAAGATGCACACAAACGCACAGTAAATGTCAGTAGGTATTCAGCAGCTTCAAACTGCAACTGAAGAAAAGAAAAATAAAAGCAAGGAAATAACGAAAACATCATCAAAGCCCTTAAAATGTTGGTTTCACTTTGTTGCTGAAGTGTTCAAAGCCAATTCATAGTTTGACAAAGTAATTGACTTATAATCTCCCCCTGGTGGCCATTATGTCACACACCCGACCAGGGTCAGCCACTGGGCCCTGATGAACCATATGGGTTTGTTTTCGTGTCCTGAGGATTACCAAGCAAAACAAAGTGTTACAAGTCATGTCAACATTAGGGTGACTGGTTTGGACAGAAATATGTGGCCCGATCCATGCTCTAGTCAACATACAGCAGCTTTATGCCAGGAAGAAACTCTGTATCAAAAACCCACCATTTAATTTTCTCCAAGATACTGTATCAGTTTCTTCACCAGCAGTGAACTCAGTAGCCCAGAATGTAACTGCCACACAACAAGATTCATGGCTACAGCAAACACCACACACCCTCTTGTTTTCACTTACCGGGTCCCTATGTAGACTTACATTAATTTCCAGGAGACTTATGCTAACCTTACACCCCTCGTTTTCATAGCATTCGACAAACTACAAGGATACACTGTGTAAATGTAGAAATACACAGGCTCCAGATATGACTGGACCCCCCCGCCACACACACACACACACACACACACACATGCAGATAAGCCTGGATCTGGCCAGCCAGGGTGTGTGGAGATGTCTGGTATCAACTGCTGGGTGCTGAGTGATGTGCTCCCTCTAACAGGGTATCAGTGTCTTAGAGAGGGCACCTTCTCCAAATAAACATGTAACTACCAGCACACCGCTCTGAGAGCTGCAGCACAGATCATTTAGTTAAGATTTAAAAGAATTTCAGTTTTGTATGGAGTCTGTCAAGTATCACTGAGCAAACTTTGTGGTATTTGTACAAAATGAGTAATTTGCATGCCTGAATTAACTACTCCTAGCAATGAGCTGGTAATTCATCGCCTCAAACTAATAACTTTGTGCCTTTTAAATTTTTCCCTAAAATGAATACCACTAGATTATCAGTGATTCAATAAATGTCTTGTCATGTCTTAATAAAAGCCCCAAAGTTCACCTATAGCAAATAGTACTCATTTTGACATAAGTCAGCAACACTACATATTGCACGTCTTCAAAAGGCTGCTTGAGGGTTAATACTTGTTTTTAGGGTTAAGGGTAATGTTTGTGTGTGTGTGTGTGCGTGTGTGTGTATACACCTTGCTGCCATAGGCCTGGTTTGCCGTTGCAGGTTGGGAGTAGTACTGAGCGACAGTCTGCATGTATGAACTGTAATCCCCGTAGGATGATGCTGCTGGAGCCTGGAACACAGGAAGGTCTGCTTATACATACTGTACTGTAGAGGTGATGATGTCCAGGGCTTATTTACAGTTGCGTGGAGAAGTTTGGGGAAAATCTATGTTTTGTTGATTTTTGACACGAAAAGAGGTAAAGACCCCTGGAGCAAAGAGACATAAAAAAATGCAGCATTTCCTGTGGCAGTGCCTGCTACACAACCCCAAAGAACAATATTTCCACACCGTGTTAGGTTTGTGACCCCGCTGTAGCCAGTGGAGAAACAGACACATATCTGCTGTTAGCTGAAGATCGTTTATGAGGTAAAGAGGCGTCACTCTGTAACACCATTGAATAATCAGAGTAAACAGAGTGCTTGTTGTTCCAACAACTCCAACAAAATGAGACATCTGCACAGGTAAAACTATCTCACATCTATGTATGATGGAAAAATAGCATATTCTGTGGGATGGTGTACAAGCAAAGGGCCATAAAGATCTGTCATCTCATCTTTTAGATAATATAAGAACAAATCCTGCACTTTCTTTGTCATCGTTCATTGCAATGTTTTACTGTAGACATCGTTTAATGCCATTTCAATAGACATCTCCCATCTCTACCGCACAGACAAAAAGCCCTACACTTACAAATGAGTGTGTGTGTTACCTGTGTGTGCTCCTTGCTGTAGTCTGTGGCTGTGTTTTCCTGTGGCGCAGCAGTACTGTAGGTGTGAGCTTGTGCTGCTTGGTAGTGCTGGTACCACTGCTGCATGGCCTCCTATGACACACACACACACACAAAAACACACATCAGCAAACATCCATTTAAAATTTGCTTGGTGATTTTCTGATCTTTGCTAAATATTGTGCCTTCTTTAGTTTTGTCTCATCTCTTTCTATTGGTGAATCCCAACTCCCTTATTTTATCAGTCCTTGTTCCTCGCTTGACCTGGAAGTCGTTCACAGTAATGAAGGACGTCCCAAAGCTCTTATAAGGAGGCTGCTGGAGGAGCTAGAAGTGAGGATATACTAATGCAGCCTCTGCTATGAACTGACACACCCCTTCATCAAAAATCAGTTTGTGGATGCTTCACATGAAGGATCGAGGATGTCTCATCAGCTAAAAGGTGTTTCCTTGGTTCCTCCCTTGTCGCAGTTTCTCCTGAAATCTTTTTCTTGCATCTTACATGGGTGGGACTAAGACGCAAGTGAGGGGAGATTTAGGTGCAGTTAGGGGAACTGGGATTCACCTTTTGTCATTCCTTAACTGCTGCTGCCGAGGGCTTTCCCTTGTTCCTCCACTTTGTCTGGTCTTTTCAGAAAAAATAAACCAACTGTTTATTGGTTATCTAATCATGACTCATTTGTTTGGATGAGTAGACTGTAATTAACATTTAAAACTGGGTTTGCCTCCTGCTGCAAACATCAGATGTCACTTGCTGCTGGAGGAGGTATAACAACAAGCGCAGAGTTAGAAAGGAAGAAAGACAGAGACAGGCAAAGAGCCAGTAGGGAGGCAGCATGAATTTTTCTGAGTGGAGTGTTAAGAGAGAGGAAGGGAACAGGGACAGATGGAGACACACAGCACTGTCTGCCAAATCCCTCTCATTCTTTCTGTCCAAATATCCATACCCATTCTCATCTCTTCCACCTCCCTGCCTCCCCTAGTTACAGCTCACTCTGTCACTGCCTGTGCTCATCCATACCCTCATTATGTATCCATCCATCAGTCACCATTCCCCAGTCTTACATTTTAGGCCCTGAATACAACTGGGAACAGGCACACCCACCTATCTCTCACCATATTTCTTTATTTGTGTCTCTGTAGTGGGTCTGTATTGTGTTGCAGTACCTGTGTGTAGGCCTGGCTATAGTGACTGTAGTCAGCAGTGGTATCAGTGCTGTATGGAGCAGTTGTTGTAGCTGCAGCACTGTGGGAGAAGGAGCTGGAGCCCTGGGTGACGACTGAAGCCACTGAGCTGCCGTACACCCCGGGGCCAGGCTGTCCACCCTGGGCTTTACTCCCCACTGAGCCTGAGGAACCATGAAGATGGTGCAATGACTTAAATAATATTGTGGGTAATCACATTAATACAAGCATTCAATACGAGCAAAATCTCAAATATTACAGCATAAGTCAGAATTTACGCCCTTGAAAGGTTTCCAGCTTGTTCCTTCAGGAGGACAACAGCTGTAGTCATCTTAAATTAAGTTAACCACACCTACAGTATTACCCCCTTCTCTAAAGTTTAACTCAGTGATCAGTATGTACCAAACATCCTCGCTCAGCCAAAAAAATGAATACAGCTTCTGGCACAGCTCTAAAGTTGTGCTGGTGCCATTTATCACACTGAAACACTCTTATTTGCTTAATATTGATGCCACTCTAATGTCTGTATGCTAATTATAAAGCTACAGACAGCAGCTGGTCAGCGTAACACAAAGAGCAGCTAGCCTGGGCTCTGTCCATCTGTAAAGAAACACATTAAATCTCATGTTGAATTTGTTCAAAAACCAAAGTGGTTTTACAGAGGTTTTGAGGCCTAGTAATATCCAGGAGTCTTATTGTCATCATGAGGCTGAAAAGGTGCTTTATCCAAAATATCTATTCCTGTAGGAAGCTTCTGTAGTGTTTTAGGTACATTTTGACACACTTCATTGACATAACTCTGGGAGTTATGTCAATGTGGTATGTTTTGCAAAAAACACATTTTTGGTCAAGTAGTTTTTGGACAGGCTGTGCAGTTTTATAGCAGATGAAAGTACTTGCCTGCAAACTAACAATCTGTTGTGTGTACAAAACAACAACAAAAAAAATCTACTTGAAGTATATGCCTTTATTGCAATGTAATGATCTCTGGTTTCTACACTGAGAAAATGACACAGTATGCTGCTGCCAAATGGACCAAACATTGTAGCAACCTTTAAATAGTAGATTTTACATACTGTTGCATCAAATAAGAAGTGTGGGCTTGTATGCTTACTTTGCAGGACCACCCCTGGCATTACACTAGCCAGATTCAAATAGGGATTAGAGGGTAGTCTGACTTCTTTAGGAGGATCACCCAGTAGTGAACTCTGACCACTGCTTACCTGAAGAGAGGAAAACCGATTTAAATTGCAACATTCACAGTACTATCTGCAGATATACAGTATCTATCTGCAAAAACACCTCAACAACACCAACATACTAACTTCAACTTAAGGCTTTAAATTTGTAAAGCTTTTGATGAATTGCTGAAGAGCTGACAAAGCTGTGGAGACCTGGGAGGATTGCTCTCTATGTTAATTACACTTTACCCCCATTAGAGAAACAGCACGGGGACTGGAATTGGTTCCCCTAAGAATTTTAGTGCTGTGATTATGTGACTTCTTATGGATGATGATGTTAGCATAGCATTGCTTTATTTAAACTGGGCCTAGTCAAAGATGTAGACAAGCACAATAGCAGAGTGGTATTCAGAATGCAGGTAAACACACAGAACGGGAAGAGAGACGGCTGGACAGACAGAAGCCTCACACAGTAAACAGGGGTGAGACAGAAGTGCATCATGGGAATGTCCCAAAGGAAGTGCTCTTGAGGGACTGAGGCTGTTTATTCATATGCTCACTTGATGCTTCTTTGTGTTTTGAATGATACTGAGACCCCATGGGGCTAATTCAGGAATATCTGTCCACAAGAGACAGAAAAACACATGGGTGGAGGATGGAAAGAGGGCGTACTGTAGAACTACAATCAACAATTCTTTACATTAATGAGTCCATTAATTTTCTCAGTTTATGCTGTTGTCTACAACAGTGGTCCCCAACCTTTTATCACTGCGGCCCGGTCAACGCTTGACAATCTTACCGTGGCCCGGGGGGGGGGGAGATTGTTTTTAGTGT